ATTAAAAATGTGCGCGACGAGTTAAATGCGAGAATAAATCCGAAGCCTAAGAAATCTAATTAATTAATTAAAAAATATTTTTGTTATTTTTTATTGAGAAAATTAAACTATTTTCAAATTAACCCTAATTTCTAATTGTTTTAAATTATGAAAAAAAGGAATTAAATTGCCCCAAATTAAATTAATCTAATTAATTAAGGAAATAAAATATTTTATGAAAAAATGATTTTAATGTTTTTGTGATTTTTTTTATTAAATAAGAAAATGATTTTTGTTATTTTTGTAAAAAAAAAATTAATCAAATAATTAAAATAAAGGAAATAAAATTAAAAAAAGAAAAGAAATTGGGCCTGTATTGTTGAGCAATTCAGGGGGTGTAGCGCTGAATTTGTTAGGCCCATTCCTTGCTCAGCCCAGACAACGCGTTAGATCCAGTGTGATACTCTTTCTGATGGTCCATGGTATGACTTGAGCGTTGGGCGCTGGATCTGGATTGATGATAAATCCAATGGTTGAGATCAGGGTCTATAGTGGGCGCCTGGAAGCATGGAGTATGGAATCTGTAATCAAATATTAAGAAAATAGAGAAAATGCTGGGACCTGGGATCGAACCCAGGTCCTCCCACTCAATACCACGCACGCCTTGCCATCCGGGCTACAGTGTTTAATTGTTATTGAAACAAAAATAACATAATGTAAATTAATCACAAGTTTCAGAAAATGCGTGCTATTTCAAATGAGCCAATATATGCCTGACATGTGATTATCTCTTTCCCTAGGACTATCGCTTTTGACACCAACTCTTTACCTACGGTCAAATTCGTCGCTATATGCTATAATGACGGTATTTTCCTGTAGCTACAAACCTGCGAATCTTTAAAATGAAATTCAAGCAATATAAATTCCATTCAAGGGCATAAATCAAATGTATTTCCTCCCCTAAACATGAATAGGCCCTTAATTTGGCCCAATTTTGCCTCTAGCTAGGGTTCCCCAATTTGGAGCTCACGAACCATAATTATGGCAAGTAACCATTCCTGCGTCAAAACTTAAATCCAGACTATCAAAAAGATTCCCAGCATGATCATGAACATGTATATACAAGTAAATCGGATTAAAAGTACGTAAAACCAAAGGAACAAGTTTGAGTTCAGAGGGTGCAAACTGTGAGGATTATGTGATGATTCTTGGAGCTTTGAGGCGTGCAACTGGTCCTGTTAGCTTCAGGAGATATCCAGGAAGGAATTTGTGGCTTTGAATTGCCTTGAATCGTCCTCTAGGTTAGAAACCGATCCACACTTTTTTGCAAAAAGTTCACTTTGTGTTTGATGCTTTTCACGACTTCAACCCCTTTTTTTTTGCATTGGTTGTGTCCTATATATGTACTAGGACAAATTAGGTTAACAAAAACAAATTGTATCTTTGAAAATCATGGAGATTTGATTTGATTTTGCTCCTTGTATGATATGTTTCCAAAATAGCCTAATCATGCCAATTTTGCTCCTAATCATCCTTGATATGATTTGATCTGATATGCTAGCCTAATTAGATTTGATTCCACCCAAAATCTGATCACAAAACAAATCTTTGACATTTTCTATTATTTATTTGATTTAATTTGACTTTTAAATACTAAAAATCAAAATAAAATAAGTAAGTAAAACCAACAACATGTGGATGATGGTTTGGATCGTGGACCATGTCACAAGCAAGATGCAAGCATAAAAAGTTAGGCCCATTTGACAAAAAATGCAATTTTGGGCACATTTGACTTTTGGCAATTTTCCAAAAATGGTCAACTTTGACAATGCATATCTCCTCCAATTTTAACCCTAGATAGGTGTTATTGGACTTTTTAGAAAGCTTAGGATGTCCCCTAAACAACCCTTTTGGTTTCATCTCAATTGGGTCTCCCATGTTCATGTAAGAAGCTTTGACCCAAAAGGTGTTTTTGTTGACTTTTCAAAGGGACCTATAATGTAGAAATTCATATCTTTTGATGAGTGCATATTTTTAACTTGTGGGATGAAGATGAGTTGTAGGGAATTGCATCCCTCTTCAAAATGAGCCTTGGATGGAAAATTTCTGATAAAGTATGAAGAAGTTATACCTAGTCAAAGTTAGGTTGACTTTTCCTATGAAACCCTAATTTAGCAACTTTTGGGTTTTGATGAATTTGGGGGCATTCCTTGAGGAATCGTGATCAACCCTTGATAAAATGATGGATATCACCTCAAGAATGTTGATGTTGACCAAAAAGCTTGAAGTTTGACTGTATATGGGCCACAATTGACTTTTGACCTAGTGTAGTTGATTTTCAGGCATTTGAACAGTTGACTGAGCAGACTTCTTGTGCAAGGCATGAAACTTGACATGGATGATCTTGAGAATATATTGGGAACATGGAAGGCATTTGGGACCTTTGGAGTTCCCACACCCTGATGAAAATGGAAACCCTAGTTTGAGGTACATTGCCTTAGGAGAGAGTTGTCTGGTCAACTCTTGGGCATCCTTGAGCAAGTTAAGGACCTCAATGGGCATGTGTTGAGTAAAATGAGATAGAAAATTTTGGGGTACAACAATGTCATTCATCGGAGTAAGTTTTGGTCTAATCACGTCTTCTAAACCTGCTACAACCCAACAATAAGATATAAGAGCACAATCAAAGAAAATATCCCACTCATCCTCCACTTCTCCCTCACATAATTGAGATCTATTAGGACAAGGAACATAATGTTTCTCTACATCCTCTTAGGACATCTTGGTTCTGTCGTACCAGAATTTCAAGGAGGAATCATATGTAGAACCATACGCCTAGACCCAAAATTGACCACCCTAGATAAGCTATGAGCCACCAGATTCGCTTGACGTTTGGAAAACTTAACCTCAAAGTTATGGTGAGAAAGAAGAAGATTCTTAATACTAGTTATAATCATACTAAATTTAGAATTATCCGAAGGTTTTGTGTTAATGGCATGCACGACCAATTGAGAGTCACTTTTAAAAATAATAAGATCCTACTACATCTTAATGGCTTTCCAAACCGCTTTCTTCAAATCCAAAGCCTCTGCTTCAATGGTAGAATATAGCCCAACATCCCAAGAGGTACCCACCATAATAAAGCCTCCCGAGTTATGTCGAAGGAACCAACCTTCAAAGCCAAAGCCTTCGCTTCAATGGTAGAATATAGCCCAACATCCCAAGAGGTACCCGCCATAATAAATCCTCCCGAGTTATCTCGAAGGAACCAACCTCTATTAGTCGTTCCCAAATGTTTATTAAACCCCGCACCCACATTACATTTCACCCACCTAATTTTCGGTGGCTGCCACATATGAAGATAACTTGTCTGATGATCGACATTACCCTCAATTTCGTGGGCATCTTGAGCCATAAACCAATCCTTCCACATGTGGTACCCTTGCATTCCAAAGTGGTTTGCATCTTTCTTCTCATTATTCCAAATCCAACTATTCCTATTATTCCAAACCACCCATAATATAACAGTCACTCTTCCCGCAACCATCTTATCCTCTTTGCTACAAATATCCCGAATTACCACCTTCGCGTCATTCATCGGAGTAAGTTTTGGTCTAATCATGTCTTCTAAACCCGCTACAACCCAACAATGAGATATAAGAGCACAATCAAAGAAAATATTCCACTCATCCTCCACTTTTCCCTCACATAATTGAGATCTATTAGGACAAGGAACATAGTGTTTCCTCAGCCTACTTCTAGTAGGGAGACAACCCCTATGAATCCGCTAAAGAAGATGCTTGGTTTTAGGAGGCACATGAATACTCCATAAACCTCTCCAATCTCCTTATACTCCACCGCCCTTATAATTACGACATCCTTACAACAACAACTTGTACTCTATTTTAACACTATAGGCACCGTTTTGCTCCTCATTCCATACTACACCGTCGTCTATAAATCCTCCAAAAATGGTACCTGTAAGATGTTGTTAGTAACCTCAAGAGAAAATAAATTACCAATTTTATTAAGATCCCACTGCTTAACATTAGGAAGCATGAGGTCCTTGACAATCATATAATACATGTGATGTTCTTGGGGAGCCTCCATCCAACTCCCACCTTCGCTTCTCAACCAAGGATCCGTCATTAACTAGATTCGACTCCCGTCCCCAATCCTCCACCTACGCCCTAACACCAGAACTTCCTTAGCTTTCTAGATACTTCTCCATACAAAACTTGGGTTGTTACCTAACTTTGTGCCATAAAGGATGAATTAGGATAATACTTAGCTTTAAAAACTTTTGAAACTAAGGTATTCTGATTAGTCATGAGATTCCAACCCTGTTTTTCCACCATAGCCATATTAAAAGCTTTGAAGTCACGAAAACCCAGTCCACCTTCAATCTTAGGATATGTAAGACACTCCATACTAACCACCTAATACCTTTGTTATACTCCCTCCACCCCACTAGAATGCATTCAATATCCTCTCTCTATATCGACCATCAGATTATTTGAAAGAATGAATACACTCATAACATACAGAGATATAACTTGAAGGGCTGATTTGATCATTACTTCTTTACCCGCCTTTGACATTGGTTGTACTCTCCAAAAATTAATATGCTTCCAAATACGATCTTTGATTAATATAAAAGTAGTATTCTTGCTTCTACCAACCATATACGGAAGCCCCAGATAAGTACCTATACCCAACACGTGTCTCACACCCATGATACGGGAAAGGTCTTCCTGAGCATGTTGGCTAATATTGCGGCTGAAAAATACCTTTGATTTATTCATGTTAATTTCAAACTAATTGATGTTTAATAGCGAATAAATTATTTATAATATTTCTGTCAAAAAAATATTTATAATATTTAATTTAATAAAACCAATGATTTTTTTTGGAAAAATCATCAAAATTGATTAAACCAAAAAAGTATGGGGGGTACAAGGCGATCGCTAGGATCCAACCCACCAAAAACCAAGGAACAAAAAGGAAAGCCTAGCTTAATATTAATCTAACAATATATGGCTTAAGAATCTTACTAAACCACCCTCTAAAAACAATCTTGAGATAATGTCCTGAACAGCAATCTCTCTATCCATGATTTTACCAAAACAAACCCCATTTCTGAAATTCCAAGCACCATATATAGTTTCAGCTGGTGCAATTTCTTCATCCCATATTTTAGGAGTATGATTAACTTGGATCCGTTGAAGAATTCTGCTCCAAATATTTTTAATCTCTTCACACTCAAAGAACATATATTGAATGGTCTCCTCTTTATTGCATAAGCCACATTCACTGTTAGTCATAAGGTCAAATATAACCAATCTACTCTTGGTAGCTAACTTCATGTGACATGCTAACCAAAGAATAATAATGGCTCTAGGCCTAGCCAAGTTATTCTTCATCAATCTATGCCAACTCTTGTCTGCCCCTGGCTTTAAAATATTGTAAATGCTTTTCATTCGAATTTTGCCTTTAGCCCTCATGGTATTCCAAACTGCAACATTAGGGCCAATGAACCCCACTTGCTCCAGGATACCACGCATAATCCAAGTACTATTAACTTTAGGCTTGACATCCATAATATTTGTTTTCTCGAGATAGTAAGTATGCACCCATTTTACCCAAAGGTTACCACTTTTGTTACAGATGTTCCATAACAATTTCAGCATATAACACTTATTCCAAGTCAGTAGATCTACCACACCAAGGCCACCTTCCTTGACATGCTTACACACATTTGTCCAAGCTACAGGGCTCTTCCTGCTCATGGAGACAATACCAGACCAAAGAAAAGAACGGTATATGACATCAATCTTTCTAATCACAGTCCTTGGCAAGGGAAAACAGATGAGCCAATAATTTGCCATGGCAAAGGAAATTCTCTTAATTAGCTATAATCTGCCAGCATAACTCAAGAATTTAGCTGACCAATGCCTAATCCTGCAGACAATTTTATCAACAAGACCCATATAATGGCAAATGGCTAACTTCTTGCAGGTGAGAGGGACCCCTAAATATCTAAAGGGAAGACAACCCTCTTTAAAGCCAGACAAGGTGAGAATCAGATTCTTGGTGGGCCTATAAACATTACCAGAGTAGATACTACTCTTGTGGGAATTAACCTTCATACCTGTAGACTTAGAGAAAGCAGTGAAGGCTTTCAGCATCAAGTCTACAAAATGGACATCTCCTCTAGAAAACAAGAGCACATCATCAGCAAACATCAAATTAGTCAATTGCAGCCTCTCACACTTGAAATGATGATTAAAGTCAGGATTGCACTGCATTTGGTGAAGACATCTTTGAAGATATTCCATGAAGATAGTAAACAAATAAGGGGAAATAGGATCTCCTTGTCTTATGCCACGTCTAGCTTGCATCAACTGAGATAAAGCTCCATTAATATTGAATCTGTACAAAATTGTAGAAACCCCAACAAAAATCCAGTCAACAAACATATGAGAAATGCCAATCTCTTGCATAATACACGATAAAGCTCTCCAACTAATCATATCATATGCTTTTTGGATATCAATTTGCATCATACATCTAGGGGGGGGGGGGGGGGGCATTCCTACTACAACCCTTTATAATCTCATAAGCTAACAAGATATGGTTATAGATTTGCTGACCCGGAATAAAAGCTGCATGATTAGGGTTTATGATACTACCATTAACCTGACCTAGCCTCACTATCATAATTCTAGACATTATCTTGTAAAAGGTATAACAAACAGAAAAGAGTCTAAAATCTCTGATATTATTTACAGAAGTTTTCTTAAGGATCAAAGAAACAATTGTGCAATTAAAGGCCTTGAATATTCTATCCTTCTTAATAAAACTATGACACATGTTAAGGGTATTATAATTAGAGTTTTTTAAATTATAATAAAATCATATTTAAAATTTCAAAAAATTGAATATACGCATTCTAAAAAAATATTGCTATAAATAGTTTCTTAACATACGCCCTTACCTAATGATTATATTAACTTAAAATATAAAAATATATTTAACTACTTCATAAAAGTATTCAAATAATATTTAACTTTTTAATTAAAATAATATTTTTTAAAATTAACAAACTATAAACTAATTGAATGAATTTCTAAAAAGTTTATAAATAAATAAAATAATTTATAAACACGTGAAAAACAATACTATCAAATAATTTTTAAAACTATAAACTATAAATAAGTTCAAAACATGGTATATTACATGTCTAAAATTTAAAAAGTATAATTTTAAGGAACCAAAATATTTTTTTCCCTCAGCAGAATAATTTATATTCTGCAACTTTAATCGAAACTCAAAAGAAAGAGTTTATGGCGGAGGCACTGGAAATGGAATCCTCAACGCCCCCAGATCTGGAAGAACTCGATCCATCATCAACACTGTTAGATCTCACGAGTTACCAGCTTCACGACCTTGACTCAGTCGAGTTGCCTCCCAATCTCACCGAGTTAGACCTCACCGCGAATCGTTTATCTAACCTAGACCCTCGCATAGGCCAATTACCCGATCTCAAAAAGCTCTCCCTCCGTCAAAACCTAATCGCCGACGCCGCCGTTGTTCCTCTCTCTTCCTGGAACGCCCTCTCCTCTCTTGAGGTACTTTTTTGTTTTCGTTTATCATTCTCTCGGAAGTTAAGTTCTGTTTGGATCGTTTGAATTGCTGAGTTGGAACGTGTTTTTTTTTTTGTTGATTTGTTGTAGGAATTGGTGTTTCGTGATAATCAGTTAAAGAATGTTCCGGAAGTAAGCATATTTAAGAGGCTTTTGGTTTTTGATCTGTCGTTCAACGAAATTGCGTCGCTACATGGTGTTTCTAGGGTTTGTAATACATTGAAGGAGCTCTATGTATCAAAAAATGAAGTTACTAAAATCGAGGAGATTGAGCATTTTCATCTGTTGCAGATTTTGGAACTCGGCTCGAATAAATTACGGGTTAGTTAGAGTGTATGTTTGGTTAGATTGAGTGTGTGTTTGTATTGGTGGTTGACATAATTGATTTTGACAGAATTGAGTATGGTAGAATTGATTTTAACTGAATTGAATTTAGAATTGAGTTTAGCAAAATTGATTTATGTTTGGATATATTTATGTAAAAGAGAATTGAGCAATAAATTTTAGTGTATAAATTTTATTTAAACTCATAAGCTACAAATTCTAGCTTCAAGTAGAATCAATTTTACTTTAGAAAAACCAAACACCTCAAAATCACTTTAGAATCAATTCTGGATCTCTAGAATTACTTTTGCCTCTTTCAAGAGGAAAACTAAACATACACTAATTATGGTTAAAAGTGAGTTGAATTTAAGTGATTTATGTTTAAATAACTTTATGCAAAATCGAATTGAACAATACATTTCAATGTAAAAATCACGTTTAGACTCGAAAGCTACAAATTCTAGCTTCAAGTAGAATCAATTCTGGAGCGATGATGAATTCTACTTTAAAAGAATCAAACACCTCAAAATCATTCAAAAATTGATAATTACATTTGGCTCTTCTAAAAGTTAAATCAAGCATACACTTTGTTTATTATATTGTAGTTTCAATGTGATGGTGTTAATTAACTGTGCTCTTCTAAAAGTTAAATCAAGCATACACTTTGTTTATTATATTGTAGAATCAATGTGATGGTGTTAATTAACTGTGTTTTTTCGTTTTCCGGTTGTATTTATGAAGTTGAGTTTTTGGTTTTTCAGGTGATGGAGAATTTGGAGAACCTTGTGAATTTGCAGGAGCTATGGCTTGGACGTAATCGGATTAAAGTTGTGAATCTATGTGGTTTGAAATGCATTAAGAAGATTAGTTTGCAAAGCAATCGTCTTACTTCGATGATTGGATTTGAGGTATGATGAGTTTTTACTTGCTCTATCACACTCCAGAACTGAATAGGGAGAAGAACAAATTTGTATTACCATTGAATATATATGGAGGGAGAAAAAACAGATTAACTTCTTAAAATAATTATAGGAAAGAACTTAGCTTTGGGGCTTAATGCACTGTTCTTATGATTCTGTACCGAACTACTTGTGAGATGGTGTTATGCAATGCACTCCTTCACATGCTTGTGTGAAGTTACCACCAGTTATGTTAAAGAAATTTAGTTCAAAACAGTTTGCACAATGCATAGGTTGCAGTATTGGAGTTTAGTCCATAATTATACAGCTTCAACTTTTTAGTGCAATTCAACCAAGTAAAACCCATATATACCTTGCATTATATGGAGAATTAAATACAATGCATAGGTTGCAGTATTTGAGTTGAGTCCATAATTATACAGCTTCAACTTTTTAGTGCAATTCAACCAAGTAAAACCATATATACCTTGCATTATATGGAGAATTAAAAAAATTATTGAAAATTTTAAATACATGGATATCATATTAAATATATTCAATTACTTACATTTATAAAATCATTAATTAGATGTATATAAGTATGATTAGTTTGCTGTATGGATTGTTACTGGAATTTAAGTTATAGCTTGTAAAAAGAGGTGAGAATGACCAGTGACAGGGGCAGAGCTACATGTGTAGCTCCAGCTGCTCGGGCCCTTGTAAACATTTTAAAAATTGCTTGAGTTTTCACAATGCAGGTACTGGCAAGAGATATAACCGTCTGGATTGCATTGTTGGTGTTACTATTGCTTTTAATGATCCGTAACTACTTTTTAAATTCTTTTTGAGGCATTAATCAGGCTATTTGTAATACAAATGTCATGCATCTTATTGACAAGTTCTCATTTTTGTTTTTACTTTTCAACTTTATGTACGATTTTTTAAAATTTTATATTCTATTGTATTGTCGTCTCATTATTATTATATAATGTTTATGACATCGCAGTGGAAAAAGCGATTTTAAAAAAAAATGAAGCCTTGTATGGGTATTTTTTTTACCCGACCTGAAAACCGCCCCAAAAGAGTTAAACCCCTAATTTAACCACTAATAACTCTATTTTAACACTGACAAAGACTAAGCATGTTTTAACCTTTCCATTCTCCACCATTTATATTTTTTTCCTTTGTGTTCTCTTCCTCTTGCAACATTTGTAATTTCTCTGAATGATATTGGTGATTGTAGTAAGTAGTAACAGAATGTTGGGCGGTTAAGAATCAACACGAGAATAAAGTAAGTGTCGTAGAAATAAGGATGATATGTTGGATGTGTGGTAAAACTAGATAGTATAAGATTAGAAATGACAATATTAGACGAAGTGTTGGGGTAGCACCTACAGTAGAAAAGATGGTGAAAAATAGACTTAAGAGATGTCAAACAACTAGAGGTAGAAGAAGACCTAGAAAAACTATAAGAGAAATTATTAAGAAAGATCTCGAGATTAACGATTTGGATAAAACCATTGTCTTGGATAAAACATTATGGCGAAAGTTGATCCATGTAGCCGATCCCACTTAGTGGGATGTGGCTTGGTTGTTGTTGTTGATATTGGTGATTGTAATGAGTTGTCGGTGGGAGTGTTGAAGGATGGTAATTATGCTGGAAGTGGCTTAGTGCATGAAGGTGACACTACTCTCAATTGACGAACTGTTTACGAGGCTTCAAGGAAAGGTTACAATGTCTAGAACCACGAAGAAATTTCAAACACAGACATCAATCTCTAAAGGTAAATGAAAGGAGGTGGTTAACGTGGTTGAAGAAGAATTGAAATTTAGACAGTGATGATGTGGCAGCGGTAGAATAAGAAGGGGAGGGGTTTACTAAAATGATGGCATTTTTAAGTCTTTATAACTCTGTTTCACTTTGAAGTTTGGAATTTGAATAGAAATTCTATTATTTTGAAAAGCTATTAATTGGATGTTTTGAAAAGCTGTTTTATTTTGAATTGAATGTTTTGACGTCTGGAATTTGAAGAGAGCTTGAGTTCTTTTTATTTTTAAGTCTGGAACTTGAATTCTTTTTATTTTGAAGCTATTTACTATACATCTCTAAAAGTTTCAATTAAATTTTGCAACGTGTAGCTCAAACTTGACAACAGAGTTGGCCCCCACTGTTCCTGGAGTCTGAATCAACCCCTGATCAATGATAACATGGGCCTTAATCCAACCAGTTAATCTCTTTGTATTACAGCGTGAACTTATAGGAAGATTTTGTAAGCCAAACAATGCTGCTGCTAACTATTTTGAACTCAACTTTGTCCTGGTCCTCAGTACGTATCAATCTTAGCTCTAAGGACCAGTAAAGTTAAGGGATGAAATTGCAGGTCAATCTACAACACATTCCTGCTATGAAATATGATTTTATTAACCACTATTTTCATCAACTTCAAAACCACACTACTGTTTATCTAGTAGAAAACATGCAGTGAAAGAGAGAAAAATGCAATGCTGGGACTTAAAGAGAGACATCATTCATTCTGATGGGATAGGAATAGAGAGATGCAATTATATGAGCAAGAGGAAAATATGTGATTCATAGGAAGAGTCTTGTGGAATATTTCACCACTTCTACCTGCAAGATCATTTAAAATTCTTCGATTTGAGGATAAAATACTTGACAATAATACTTTGGAATTTATGAATTTCTTGTACCTTATTATATAGCCAATTAAGATGATGTATGACGAAGTATTTCAAGTCCTCTAAAAACTTACATTCCTTTCTTAAAGTTCATCATTCTAACTCAATTTCTCAGGAAATAGTCATCAATTGAAGATAGGGATTGTTTCAATTTGAACTTGTAGGTGAATAGGGCAGGGGGTTCTGCAAATTTTCTTTTTGTATTTTCATTTATAGTTGCTAACTTTTTGGCTTACAGGGTTGCATAGCTCTAGAAGAACTATACTTGAGCCACAATGGTATCTCAAAAATGGAAGGCTTGTCATCTTTAGTCAATCTCCGGCTTTTAGATGTATCATCAAATAAGCTAACCTCTGTGGATGACATTCAGAACCTGACACAGTATGTCTATTCCTTTATTTCCCTCCCCATAGAAAAAACTTTTCCGGCCTTGTGTTAATAATAATTTCATTGATTCGTTTAATCTATTGCAGATTAGAAGATTTGTGGCTTAATGACAACAAAATAGAATCACTTGAAGGATTTGCTGAGGCTGTCGCAGGGTCAAGAGAGAAGCTTACCACAATATACCTAGAAAATAACCCTTGTGTATGGAGTTTATTTAGCCTTTTGGTAGATTTTATAGTCATTATATGTGCATAATCTTCCACTAAGATAAAATTAAAGCATATTAGCCCCCATTACGAGGTCAATGACAAACAGTTTTTTTCTCCATATTTCTGCATATCGTGAATGTGTTTTTTCCCAATGCAATGAAGCATTTCTTAACTATTCCATTTGGCGGACTCCCTTGAGACATAAATGATGGCTTTGTAGTAAAGTCATTTGTTTGTTCAAATGTTGTATAATATATTGGTTGATTCTGTTTATAACATCCCTAAATTTTCAGGATGATGGTCATTCTTAATTGTTTTTCAGTTACAAGATGCATTTCTGTAAGAACTAACCGTGATATTTCTTCCCCGCAGGCCAAGTTACCCAATTACACCGCCATCCTCAGGGAAATCTTCCCCAACGTGCAACAAATTGATTCTGATGTATTTTCTTAAGAGTATCTTTGGCTTCATCTTTTTCTGAAGCGTTGTCTTCTTTTCATATATATATTTGTAAGTTATATATAGATCTTTGCACGCTTTTGTCTCTTTCTTTTAGGCTGCACTTTGAATAATTTCTGCAAAATCTTCCATGCATGCAGATTCAAGTTTTGGGAGATCGATAAAGAGATGTTGTGATTTTAAAACCACCGGTGAATATTATTATGTGGCCTAACATTGGTTACCAGTCGAATTAACATATATACTTGTTACATGTTTTATTTTATGTTTTTCAGACACCCTTTTGTATTATTTATGTCATTTGGCAACCAATTTTTGAAGCAAAGGTTTTTCAGTAATGAACCTGAAGATTAATGGTAGAGACTGACATACCTTTTTTTCATCGCTTTTATTTTAGTAAGTACAACATTTTTGTTTCCAAAAAAATCTTGCTGTAGTTTTCTCAGTAGAAGGTTTAATATTAATAGTACTTGGTCTGTTGAGTGAGTCTATCAGGTTTATTTCTTTTATTTATATAAATTAGTTATTGTATTGTAACGTAATTTTGAAATATACTAAGCTTTTATTCTGATGGTATTACAAACTCCTTTTTTTTTAAAGGATATTGCTATTGTTTAGAATTTCTAGCCATTTCCATTGCATTTCCCCCCTTTTTAGAAACCCTAAGACCGTCATTGCTGGTAGCCTTCATTGTGGTTTTTAACCATTCTTTAAAGAGTTAAATGGATAGGCACTGACACTGTAAATTTTACATCGTCATCTAATGAAAATAAAAAAGAAAAAATAGAGATGGTGAAAGTTGAATCTTGACCGACTATGTTTCATGTTTATTTAAAAAAGAAAAAATAAGATATGCACTGATAGTGTAAAATATTTTTATACTTGCCAAGTTATATTGTGCCAAGTTATACTGAAAATTTTAATAAAGTGAATCTCAAAAAAAAAAATTATATATCTGTGAGGCACATTGGAAATATATTTTCGATTTTTAGAGATATTTTTAAAATTACTTAAGGATATTTCTTTTCTTTATCGTTGAAAAAAGATTTTTTTTCTTTCTTTATGGCTAGAAGTCTACTGCGGCTAATCACTGAGGGGAGGTTTAAGTTTGCAACCCCAAACACATTTGGTACATCTGGTTGGATGCACCATATTTGCAAAAAATAGTATCATTTGATAAATGTGATGTTGTATTGTTTCATGATTTAGGATTTTACGTATGAGCATAGAGTGTAGTTACTATGAATGTAATGTACTACTGCTTAGGAGAGAAATGTGATGTGAACTAATTTTGAATTTTAATTACCTCTCATATTTGGTTTGGTAAACATAATTTTTTGGTTAATTGATAGGTCTGCATTTTACAAGTTCAAATTGGACTTAGTTACCACATTATTAATTTTAGGTTTTTACTCATCTTGACCTTTCCGTCTTCACGCATATCTAGAACTACAAATATAGCATTTTGATGATCTTTGCCCTCCAGAAAGTTAAGACAAATTCAGTGGCGCATCTTGTCTAAAAATAATAGGAGGAGCAGTCATAAATACTAAATAAATGGTATTATAATTAAAATTTATAGAAGTCATTTATAATAAATAATTATATTCACTTATATTTCACGCAACTATTAATAAGATTAAGATTTTAAAATTTATTTCTTTTAAACAACGCTAATAAAAATAATGAACAAATTGAGTGTTAAAGAAGACTTAAATTAATATTTCTCACTAATTTTATTATATTTATTCAAAGAAATCAAATATAAGAGACTAACACATTGTTAAAAAAATTATATTAATATTTTAACTCTTCAAAATGAGCATATTAATATTTTTCATCTAATTAACAATAAATTTAATGATTAATTTTTAGAATTTTTCATCGATAATTAGACAAAAAAATTAATATAATACATTTTAAAAGTTAAATCTTTTTGAATTAAGAGATTAAAATAAATTTTGAAATTAAGATACTCGACCAAAAATAATATTAAACTTATAATTAATATATTAAAAGAAATAGAAAAAGAATTGACTATTTTCTAAAGTATGAGAATGTACCTTAAAATTTAAAAACTTCATATTAAAATTTAATTTAATTTTTCAACCTTATTTCATTATTTATTTTATTAACTATATTAATTTGTCTAACTTTTCCTTTAAATTATTTCTAATAAAAAACTTTGTTCTTCCTTCCACCTTTGAAACTTTCAATATTATATATCATTTCTTCTTCCCATCTAATCTCCATGCCAATTATAATGCACATGTTAAGTGTACATTAGTTACTATCTAAGTTTGTTGGTCCCACCATATAAAATAGAGTTATGTTAAAAGTAAAATAAAGGTGTACTTCTTTTTTCAAAACAACATATATTTTTTTTAGGAATTTTTTTTTTAGCAATAACCATGTTTTAAAAAGAAATATAAATAATCATGTTTTAAATTTTTTTACATAAATGACTATGTTTCAAAAAATATTATAATGCAGTAGTTATCTCAGATGGTGCATGTATTGATTTTTTTAAAAGAGGCGTTAAGTAAGATGACGTTTAACCATCTCCTATTTTTATTTCCAATTTTTTCTATTTATTTGTGGATTTTCATGCAGATTTGACTTTTTCTACGGATTTACCTGAAGATTATTTTTTCGCAGATAATTCCGTAAGAAAATCCATAAGTAAGTTCGCAGGTAACGTCAAATCTACAGATAATTGAAAAAGTTTGAAAAATATATAAGAGTCGCTAATTCAAGTGTCGCCTCCTCTTTAATTCAATTTTTTTTTAAAATATAATCATTTACGCAATTTTCTTCAAAACATAATTATTTATATAATTTTCTTTGTAATATAATTATTTGTATAATTTTTTTTAAAACATAGTTAATACTAAAAAAAAAAAAAAACATTCTTATATTTAGCAAAAAAAAAAAAAAAAAATAGGGATGCCACTGCACCCTTGGGCTCTTCACTAAATCCGCCATTGGACAAATTGTTACAATTATGTGTTTCACAAGCTTCATCAAACTTGACTTAAATCTAGGCGAAATTGAATCACAGAGTTTCTGGTGGTTGATGCCAAGTGGCTAAATACCGCTTCTTACTATATGAGCTATAACAAATGTGATAAGTGGAAGCAAAAATACATCGAATGAATTCAAAAGCTACACGTTTTGTTACCTTCATAAAAAGATGATTCAATTAATATTAAACAACTAGGAAAGTTGAAGTTGTTTTATAAGAAATTTAAATCCAATAAGTTAGAGACAATACAATCTTAATTGAAATAGTGAACGTTAATAAATTAGATACATCTCAGATTTATATTTATATGATGAAATATTATAAGTAAGATTTAATTTTAGATGACATTTTAATGATGAACAATATTTAATTATTACCATAAACAATATATTTTATGATAAAACTTTCACTCCATCCAACAAAAGACTGAGGTATAATGCAATGCACACAATGTTTTATTTTTTTCAAAAATAAATATCATCTATTCTCTTGGTTTTTAAATACAATCGAAGAAAAAAATTAATTCATAACACAATTCGAATCCCATCAAAGACAGTTTATATTTTTATTTCTTTAAAAGAGGTGCCTTTATTTTTATTTTATTTTTTATTTGTAAATTAAATGATTTATTCCTTTGATTTCTGTAATAACTATTGAAGGATAATTTAGTATTTCTAGTTGTTTTAATAACTTAGCTATTAAGTTTATTCTTTTAGGGTCTATGTGACTGTTTACTTTGTGTATAAATAGACTAATGATTGATGTCATTTAATAACATTATTCCTTGTAACTTTATAGCCGTCATTCTCTTTGCTCTCATAAATATATTCTTTGTTCATCATCACCTTGTGCACCAATAAATTGATATCAAAATAGAATCTCCATCTCTAAAAAATATACCATATTTCCCAGATCAGTCATCTCAAACTCATTCATTAGCACCTCTTTGAACTTGATTATACTTTCTGAATAGCTTCCTGTTAGCAATATGTCATCAACATAGAGACATACCAGAATCATATTGTCTCCGGAATATTTCACATAAACTCCATATTCCATTTCACACTTATGAAAATCCTACTTCTTGAAAAATGAATCAATCTTCAAATTCTAAGTTGCTGTCAGGATTTTGAGGTATGTCAAGGAAACTCTGAAGTTTAGAGTACTATTCTCTGTTGGAAGAAAGACAGATCCAGAGTTGATGAGTTACTCTGATTCTAATTGGTGTGGAGATAGAGTTGATAGAAGAAGTACTTCTGGATACTTGTTTAAGTTTCTGAGAGGTCCTATTTCTTGGTGTTCCAAGAAGCAATCCATTGTTGCTCTATTAACGTGCGAAGTTGAGTATATTGCAGGTGCTGTAGCTGCATGTCAAGTTGTGTGACTTCTGAATCTATTGCAGGATCTGAAAATCAAGGTAGATAAGCCTCTGAAGCCGATGATTGATAACAAGTCTACAATAAATCTTGCCAAGAACCCAGTACTACACGGGAGAAGCAAGCATATTGAGACAAAGTATCATTTTCTCAGAAGTCAAGTCTAGAACGGAGTACTAGAAGTTGTGCACTGTAGCATCCAGAAGCAGCTGACAAATATTCTGACAAATGCAATCAAGACATATCAATTTATCCACTTAAGGAATGAAATTAGTGGTGTTATTTTTTATTAGGAAATTCTAAATTAAGGGATGATATTGAAGGGTAATTTAGTATTTCTACTTGTTTTAATAACTTATCTATTAAGTTTATTCTATTAGGACCTATGTGGCAGTTTACTTTGTGTATAAATAGACTAACGATTGATGTCATTTAATAACATTATTCCTTGCAGCTTTATAACCGTCATTCTCTTTGCTCTCATAAATATATTCTTTGTTCATCATCACCTCGTGCACCAACAATAGCCAAGGGATTAGATAATCAAATTTTACTATAAAAACATATGTTAATTAAGTTTTACCCTAAATCTA